AAATCAAAATTAAAATTCAAAAAGTAAGAGAGAGAGAGAGAGAGAGGGGGGGGGGGGGGGGAGATAAGGAAAAACTTAAAATGAAAAAAAAATACATTTTTAATTATATTAACACGTCATGTATTGATCGGTGTGTGAAAAAACTTGCTTCTTAAAATTTGGGGCTGATAAAAAAATGGTATAATAATACTGATTCATAATTGTTTAGTGGGGTAGTAAAACAATTACAAAATTAAAGTCTCTTTTAAAAATCCGGGACAACTTCAATGGTTACTTTATGTCTTTTCTCACGCAAAAATTGATAAAATGGGTGTTAACCTTCTCTGGGATCATTTGACCTTGAAAATTGGTCATTTTGACTGTGGTGATCAACCGACTCCTTGTCTAAGGTCTTAACTAAGGTATAGGTAAATTTACGACAAAAATGACATTAGAATTTTAGATCAACAAAAAATATGGTGAAATATAACTCACAAAAATTGGCAAAATTAAAGGTTTACCTACTTTGCGGGTCGTTTGACCTTTAAAATGAGTTATTTTGGTTGTGGTGACCAACCGACTCCATGTCTAAGGTCTTAACTAAGGTACATGTAAATTTACGAGAAAAACCACATTAGAATTTTGGATCAACAAAAAAGATGGTGGAATATAACTCACGAAATTTGACAAAATTAAAGGTTTACCTGCTCTGCGGGTCGTTTGACCTCTAAAATGGGTTGTTTTGGCTGTGGTGACCAACTGGCTCCATAAATAAGGTCTTAAAGGGTGTCCATGTAAATTTTTGGTAAAAATCACATCGAAATTCTGGATCACCAAAAAATTCATAGACTATAGCACAAGAAAATCGACAAATTAGGGGGTTCACTTGCTCTAGGCTCGTTTGACCTTGAAAATGGATAATTTTGGTCTTGGTGAACAACTGAATCCATAGATAAGGTCTTAAGGGATGTACATGTAAAGTTTCGACAAAAAAAGACATCAGAAATTCAGATCACCAAAAAAGATGGTGGACTTTAACACACGAAAATTAAATAAATGGGGGATCTACCCACTTGGGCTCGTTTGACCTCTTAAATGGGCCATTTTGACCATGGTGACCAATTGACTGCATAACTAATGTCTTGACGGACGTCCATATAATTTTCAGCAAAAACGATAAGGGAATTTTGGATCACTAAAAAAATGGTGGACTACAACACACGTAAATCGATAAAAAAGGGGTTTAGCTGTTCTTAGGCTTGTTTGACCTTGAAAATGAGTTTTTTTTGCCGTGGTGATCAACTGACTCCATAATTAAGGTCTTAACGACGTCCATGTAATTTTTTTACAAAAATCACGTCAAAATTCTGAATCACCAAAAATCTCATGTACTATAGCACACAAAAAAATAGGAAAAATTAGGTTTACCTTCTCTGGGCTTGTTTGATCTTGAAAATGAGCCATTTTGATCGTGGCACCAACCGACTCCATACCTAAGGTCTTAAATAACGTACAAGTGAATTTTTGACAAAAAAGACATCACAATTTTGGATCAACAAAAAAGCACAAGAAAATTATAAAAATGGAAGGTTTACCTGCTCTGGCGGTCGTTTGACCTTAAAATGGGTCGTTTTGACCGTGGAGATCAACAAACTTTATAGATAAGGTCTTAACGAATGGTCATGTAAATATTTGCAAATATCACGTCGGAATTCTGCTTAAAAAAATTTCATGAACTATAGCGCACGGAAATTGGTAAAATTGGGGGTTTACCTTCTTTGGGGCTTATTTGACCTTGAAATGGATTGTTTTGGTCGTGGTGACCAAGCGACTCCAAATCTAAGGTCTTAACAGATGTATATATAAAATTTTGACAAAAAAGACGTCAGAATTTTAAATCATCAAAAAAGAGGGTGGACTATAGCACACGAAAATTTGTAAAATGAGGGGTTTACTCGCTCTGGGCTCGTTTGATCTTGAAAATGGATTATTTTGATCATGGTGACCAACCGACTCTAAATCTAAGGTCTTAACGGACGTACAAGTAAATTTTTGGCAAAAAAAATAACGGAATTCTAGATCACCAAAAAACATAAGGGAGTATAGCACACGAAAATCGGCAAAATAGGGGGCTTACTTCTCTGGAGCTCGTTTGACCTTGAAAATGGATAATTTTGGTTGTGGTTACCAACTGGCTCCATAGATAAGGTATTAACGGACAATCATGTAAATTTTCGACAAAAATCACGATGAAATTCTGAATCACCAAAAAAATGGTGGACTATAGCTCACGAAAATTGACAAAATGGGGGGTTTACCTACATTGGGTTCGTTTGACCTTGAAAATAAGTTGTTTTTCCTGTGGTGACCAACTGAGTCCATAAATAAGGTCTTAACAGACGTCCACATAGATATTCGGTAAAAATCACGTTGGAATTTCGAATCACCAAACATCTCATGGATTATATAGCACACGAAAATTGGAAAATGTGAGGTTTACCTGCTTTAGGGCTCATTTGACCTCTAAAATGGGCCATTTTGGCCTTGGTGACCAACTGGCTCAATAGCTAAGGTCTTAATGGATGTTTCTGTAAATTTTTGGCAATAATGACACCGGAATTTTGGATCACCAAAAACGATGATGGACTATAGCACACGAAAATTGGCAAAATGTGGGGTTTACCCGCTCTGAGCTTGTTTAACCTCTAACATGGGTCGTTTGGGCCGTGGTGACCAACTGGCTCTATAGCTAATGTCTTAATGAACGTTCATGTAAGTTTTTGGCAAAATGATCACCAAAAAAAATGGTGGATTATAGCACATGAAAATCGCCAAAATGGAGTTTTTACTTCTCTAAGGCTCATTTGACCTTGAAATAGGTCCTTTTTGCCGTGTTGACCAACAAGTTCCCTAGATAAGTATTAACTGGCGTCCATGTAAATTTTCGGCAAAAATCATGTTGGAATTCCGAATCACTAAAAATCTCATGGACTATAACACACAAAAATTGAGAAAATTGGAGGTTTACCTTCTGAGAGACTCGTTTGACCTTGAAAATTGGTTGTTTTGACAGTGGTGACCAACAGGTTCCATAGCAAAGGTCTTAACGAAATTATAAGTAATTTTTAAGCAAAAAAGACGTCGAAATTTTTTATCACAAAAAAATGGTGGACTATAGCACACGAAAATTGGCAAATAGGGGGTTTACGTACTTGGGGGCTTGTTTGACCTCTAAAATGGTCCATTTTGGTAGTGGTGACCAACTGGCTCCATAGATAAGTTCTTAGTGAACGTCCATGTAAATTCTTGGCATAAATCACATCGAAATTGTGGATCACCAAATATCTCATGGACTATAGTACACAAAATTAGTAAATTGGGGGGGGGGGTTACATGCTTTGAGCTCGTTTAACCTTTAAAATGGTCTATTTTGGTCAGGATAACTAACCGACTCAATAACTAAGGTCTTAACAGATCTACAAGTAAATTTTCGTCAGAAAAGAAGTCAAAATTTCATATCACCAAAAAAGATGATGGACTATAGCACACGAAAATTGGCAAATAGAGAATTTACTTACTCTCGGGCTCGTTTTACCTTGAAAATGAGTCATTTTTATCATGGTAACCAATTGGCTCCATAGATAAGGTTATAACTGACGTCCATGTAAATTTTCAACAAAAATCATGTCGGAATTTCAGATCACCAAAAATATGGTGGAACAGCAAACAAAAATCAGCAAAATTGAGGGAGGGTTACATGTTTTGGGACTCGTTTGACCTTGAAAATGAGTCTTTTTTGCCGTGGTGACCAACTGGTTCCATAATAAGATTTTAACGGACGTCCATGTAAATTTTGACAAAAATCACGTCACAATTTCGGATCACCAAATATTTCATGTACTATCGCACACGAAAATCGGCAAAATGAAGGATTACTTGTTCTGGGGCTTATTTGACCTTGAAAATGAGTCGTTTTTACCATGGTGACTGAACTGACTTTATAAATAAGGTTTTAACGGACGTCCAGGTAAGTTTTTGACAAAAGAAAACGTCAGAATTCCTCTGGTTCAAACTCGTTTGTCACCATTCCATTCGAAATTCATCAATTGATTATCCCTCGATTGAATGAGTAGAAAATTATAACACCACACACTGAGAAATAAACAATAAATAAAAACAACTATGAAATGATGTATGTTGTATGAAAGAACACGATGTCAACCCCCCGCCCCCCCCCCCCCCCCCAAAAAAAAAAAAAAAAAAAACCCTACCACCATGAAAAATGAAGTAAGTGGTAAATTTTTGGTGCCATATTTATCTTCATTATCTCCACATTTCATTTCACAACAAAATAGTCCATGGCACACCCCAATCAAGTACACAATTTTCCTCTATTCATTGATTTATGCTTCAAAAACTTGCATCAACTTTGATAAAAAAAAGTGACCTTTCGCATTGCACAAGTCAAGGTCCAGGTCACATTATTTGGCATATTTTGCACCCCATGTCGTATCCACAAAAACATTTAATCATGGCATTAAACGAGTAGGCGCGAACAAAATATGTAAATATTATTGAACGAGTAAAAACTCACCAAATCAATATCGGTTTTTGCTGCCTACGCAGCGACTTAAATTCTTAAAAATTGAAAATTGAAACTCAAAAAAAGTAATTGTAAGTTTGTGAAATTTCAAATGGTCATAACTTTGCCTCAGATGGCGATTATTTTTTCAACTTGGGTAATTTTTCGAGATCTATCCGACCAAACAAGGACGGATGAAAAGAATCACCTAGTGTTTTTTTGTCTCCATTGAATTTTGAATGTAAAACCTCAGAATTCTCAACTACTGACCACTAGGCCACACCTTTGGGTGTCACAAAACACCCATTAGACATTAAAAGCAATAAATACAGAGGAAGTACAAAAATGCATCAACATTAATAAGATTACCAAACATGCATGATATTAAGGATCATATATAGATGCATAAACGAAAAATGAAAATGAGAAGACAACGAGATAAAAAGAAGATCCAAACTGCATACAATGCATTCAACACAATATATCATTGCATCATCGAAACGTAAAACCAAATAAAGAGAAAAGGTTTATTGTTCGAGCGAAAATCTAAAATGGTGCAAGAAGCATCAACACAATACAACACATTCAACACAAATTTTAACGTTTGCTACTATCGTATGAATAATATAACAGAACCAATCGAACAAGAAGAATTGCGATTCACCAGCTAAGTGGCTCAGACTCGGGTAAAGGTCGGATCCTTCATGGTCGAGCACCGGTGAGAGATACTTACAAATCAACATTCACCTACAATGCCAGAAGCATTTCACCATTATCGGAAAAAGAACTGACCAACTCTTAGACGCTACCATTATCACTCGTAGAATTGTCTAAAATCAGTTTGTTACCTGCAAGAAAATCACTACGTCATGGCCTTTTCAGTTTAGGAGCATCATTGTCTTGCTTCTCAGCTGATTGCTTAGAAATTGACAGCAGTTTGTTGTCTTCATTGCCACAAGCTTCGGAGCCATCTGTTTTTCGCAGTTCCCATGTTCTTTGATACTGCATTTGGATAAATCAGTTAAACTCGACTTTATATCTTTCTTTCCCTCAACTTCAACCCATTTGCCATCTATCCAATCTCTTGAAGTCCTCAGGTTCTTCCTTTGAATCTCCAATAACATGTTCTCGCCTATGATTGAGAGAAAAAAAAACATTGGGGCATCAGGCTATGACCAACATCGATCAGTAAAAATTCAAACAACAAATTAGCCTGAAGCTAGGCCAGGCCTACTTTTTAGAACTTTTTCACTGCAGAGTTGGAAAGCGAATTTATGGCAATGCTGAGCTTAGACATATGATTTCGAGTAAGAATCGAAACTAATTAGAGACTCCAATTTTTTACATCCATTGGCTGTTGAGTTATCCTTACGCGAAGTTGCTAGGCATCAACCGATGAATAAGAATACTCCTTTTTTTCCTTGTTTCCTATTTCTATTTTAACTTTTTAGTTTTTAGGGTGTGTCTTTGGCTGTTATTTCTTACCAGGGAAATAAACCTGATGATGACCGCTTCCACAGACATCAATTTCAGCAACAACACCTTCCCACCACCCGTCAGACCACCAAGCATCAACTGCAGCTCCTACTTCAAAAGAGTAGTCAGAAGAATCCTCTAGAGGCCGAGGCCTAACTGTGAGGCGTCCTGTGCATCTCATGCCCAATTTATCAGAACCTGCAACTCTATAGGAAGGAACCCATTCCTATAAATCAAGCAAAGGTGATGAGGAAAGAGAGTGAAGGGAGAACGTACAAATCAATATATGTAAGTAGATCACAAATTTTAGTATATAAAATTGAAGTTATAGTCACAGTGGTTAAGGTACCTCGAGCTTTTCAGGAGCATCACAATCCTCGATGTCATCATATTGAACTTTCATACGTTTTTGTGATACGTCTAAGACCTTATACCTGAACCAACAACCTCTCAAGCCACTATCCTGGCAAAGAACCTCTAAGTTGTCACCAACTTCAATAGACAACTTACATTGAGGCTCAACAATCTGAATTCCAACTGGTCCTACGCTTGGACATTTGATGTTTAACATTGGGCAAGTTGGTGGTTCGGCATCAACAATCTGAATTCCAACTGGTCCTACGCTTGGAAATTTTATGTTTAACATTGGGCAAGTTGGTGGTTTGGCTTTTCCTATCGGGTTACCAGATATTTGCTTTCTGATACCACTCTTGCCGACACTTCTACTCCACCCAAGTCCTTGAGTTGGAGGATCTTGTCGGGTAACATGTTTTACTTTGTGCAACATATGACCCTTTGACTTAAGCTTGGCTCGTTGACTGTCTGACATGATAAATATCGTTTGACTATAGTAGCCCTCCAATTCATTCAGAGAGAATGGCATGATCTTGTATTTTATTTCCCTAGAGCACACATAGACACCAGAGGGCAAAATTTTTCGGAGAAGAGAGATATATTTGTCATAATCTCCTGGAGTCAAAACTATAGCAATAGCATCAATACAATTCGCTTGCATCCCCTCAACATGAGACGTGAAAAGTACTTCTCTAGGGTGTCCCTCAAGCTCTGGAATTGCACACTTGATGTCCTGCAGATATTCGAAACACCGGACCTTCACTTTATTTTGTCCCTTTTTATTCTCATAAAAGTCTTCCAAGTAACCTACGTGCTGACTTTCTTTTTTGTCCGTGAATATAACAAAGGAATTAACCTGCAAAAAACTAAGAGATTACACAAGAAAAGGAAAAGAAATATGAGATCAAGAAGCTGATTTAATGCTACCGAGTGCTTACAGCTATCGTAGTTCCATTTCTCCTAAAAGAAGGATAATGCGTACGTTGCTTGGCGCAGGTCCAAGCAGTACGTGACCACAAAATATTTGATTTTTTTGCTTTCAATTCATTAGGAAGTTGTACCTGAAATAGATACTTCCCCTTCAGTAACTGTAGTTAAAAAAGTTGCAACTAATATAAAAAAAAAAGTAGATCAACTTATTTGAGACCTCATCAGCTAAGTGACCAGCCATTACAACGCTTCTTCTCCTTTCACTTGTCGGGGTATCTACAAGATAAAGGGAGGCCAAATATACTATAACGTAAGTACATTAAAGTTCAGACAAAAATAATTTGTAACAACTAGGCGTAGCATTCTTTCTACAGAGATCCAATTGTATACAGCATCAACAACTCAAAAACATTAGCAACTTTACAACATATACACCAATTGCAACAATTACACAAGAAATTATTCATGAAGTGGTAGAGGGTTTACCCGTGTAATAAATGTCACATCCCAAAATACCCCTTAGACATGACTGACCCCACCTTGCGGGCGAACCAATTATCCATTCACTTACCCAATTATATAAGCACTTTGAGAAATTACGTGCAAGTCTAGCACATTAATAATAATAAAGAAATGGATAACAATTATCCAATGGAACTCCATAATCCATCTATTAACTCAATGATTACTCAAAGACTAATCATCTAGTCCAAATCCCACTATAAGACCATGGAGCATCTAATAGAATTACATGAGTTCAGCTGTAAGGTATGCAAACCCCCCAAAAAAAATTCGTTATAAAATAGATAGAGATGAAACAACTGCCTCAATGATTAATGTGCAGGCTCATCTAAGAAACAGAACCGATTCGAACGTACTCGTCAGCCACCAGACTCACCGTCTACAAATATTTATGCATAGGCATGTAGGTAAGGAGTGAGCAATACATAAATATACCTAAATAAGATCCTCGGCCCGCTACTTTAATAACATTTGAAGAAGTGTTAAAAAATATAACTACACAACAAACACATGAATGATATGGATAGAAATACATTTTATTATATAATGCTCAATAGGTCCAAACAAATGTTCAAAAAGGACATTACATATTTCAACTCAATCCACATAAAGGAGATCAATCTAGAACCCTAAAAATTTCACGGCACTACATATTATGTTCCAAACGTAAACCAAAGCATCACGTCCAAGGTCCCCAACATACTACGGTAGCGCATGTATGCCCCTAGTAACTATATCACGACAGCGAAGGAAAAATATCCAACTCCCCAACGCCATGGTAAGAGATCATGCCACACCACAAATCACTTATGAAATATTTTTTTATTGTCTTCTCAAATCAACATATATACGGTTAGTCAAAGACCACCGATTTTGCCAAGCACACGTGTCCCAAATTATGGATCAGGCAGACAAAACACATTTTAAAAGCAAATTTTAAAAAGCAGGCACCAAACCTCAGTCTTATTTACCTTGCTAATCATGAGTTTCCCAACCTTGCAACGAATAAACACCAACCAAACAACCTCCAAATTACCTCAATCTATGCAAAAATATTACACTAGGCAAGGTCAAGTCTCAATACTTTTACATTTACGATATCTCTCTCTTTCATTATTATTCAATCACTTCTAAATCCTAATGTCTTCTAGTTAGAAGTGGTGAAATTCAAACTGCATCACTGAAAAAATACATGGTTTTTCCACAGTAGTTTTAAACCCAATTACAAATCCAATTTCACTAACCACCAATCATTGTCAAATCATTTGTCCTTCAATCATTAGCTAATCATCATAAAGGTAAGGACTAAGGGTTAGATAACTTTCTCCAAATTCATGCAACACATATACTGCAAGTCTACAACATATAGACTACCATAAGTCAAATTTTATGCCAATACCTGAAGCTTATCACCCGAAACAGTAGTCTATGAAATTCCTCTTTGCGTCCTTGAATTCCACAAAACATTTCTCAATGAGTTCATTTCTTTTCTCCCAAAATTTAAGGAATCATTTGCCCTAATAGGATAATGGGCTTGGCCCACTCCTTTTGACTCTGTTAATTATTATTATTATTATTATTATTTACTTATTTTTATGACAAGAGAAACCCGCCGCCGCTACCCTTTGGGTGCGCACATGGTGAAACCTTCTCTCCTATGCAATAACATTATTATCATTATTATTCTTTATGTTGGGTTAAAATTACCAATTAATCCCTTATAAAAATTTGGGTTATTATAAAAAGAGACACCGTATTTTGCAAACTTAGTTACTTAAACTTCTAGATTTGAATGAGCACATACACCATCAAGAAGAACAAGGAATTCATTGTTGAAATATGGAAACAATATTATGACAACATTTACCAAGCAAATCAAACCAAAGTCTATATAAATGATCGTGAGCTATATTAGAGGACATAAAATGCAAAAAAAAAATCAGTCGCCAATATGTTTGACATCGTGGATAACAAGGATCTTATAGTTGCCACTAGTTGAGTCATAAGCCTATCCCAAAATTCCTCCGAGCAAAATTGTGGATGAGGAAGTACTGTTGATTCTCTTGTGGAAGGATTCCAACAAAAGGTTAGGTGTCTCAAAATCCACAATATTATCACAAAGCATGATAATAGCCAAGTCATTGCAAAAACAATTGATTAAGCAATAACTCGCTTTAGAGTTTGAAGGGCAATTAAGTTTATGTACAGCTTCAACCAGTTGAACTGGCGATAAAGGTCAAGGATAGATTGAAAATATACTATCATTGTAGCACTTCCAGAAAATAAGATTTTTTTTGGAAATTTTGGTCATTTGTGGCATATTTAAGATGCATATTATAAGTAATAATCTTCAACTGGACCTAGAAGGATATTAAGGTTTAGAATCAAAAAGGAAATTGTTTTCGCTTTACAATAGGGAATGCTTTTGTTAAATTAAGTCTACTCTTAATTACATCCCAAAAACTAGCTCACCCCACATCACACCCTATACTTAGCATCTTGTGAGTGGCAATTATGATTTTTGGGCCCCAACATTGGGTGAGATGGGCCCTGCTCTGATACCATATTAAATTAGGCATTAGACCTAACTCACACCTCAAAAGCTAGCTCATAAGAATTCACACATCGAAAAAGGGATGAGAATTTGGTCTCTTTATGTGGACTTGGACAATCCTCCCCTCATACAACACCTCTCAAGTCATTATCAGACTAAAGATTTTGGCAAGCTGAAATACTTTCTAGGTATTGAAGTGGCACAATTTGGCCATGGTATTGCTAAAACTCAAAGGAAATATTCCTTGGACATTTTGGAAGACGGTGGTATGTTGGATTGCAAACATGTGGCCAATACAATGGATCCAAATACTAAGCTTATTCCAGGACAAAGGAGCCTCAAAAGATCCTAGCAAATATCGGAGACTTGTTGGCAAACTCAACTATCTTACAATCACGCGACCAGACATCTCATTTGCTGTTAGTATAGTTATCCAGTTTTTACAATCACGTTGTGATAGTCACTAAAGTGTAGTGATTTGCATCCTGTATTATCTCAAAAACTCTCCAAGACAAGGTTTATTATATGAAGATAAGGGACACACCAACATTGTTGGATATTCATATGCAAATTGGGTAGGATCTCCTTCTGACATGAGGTCCACTTTAGGTTATTGTGTTCTAATTAAAGGCAATCTAATATATTGAAAGAGTAAAAAGTAAGTTTTCGTAGCTCGATCAAGCGCAGGGGCAGAATATTGAGCTATGTCATTAGCTACATCTAACCTTATATGGTTGAGAAAACTTTTCTTGAAGATGGGAGGAGTTGAACCGATGACATTGATTTGTGATAACCAAGACATGTCACTTCTAATGTAGTGTTCCATGAAAGAATGAAGCCCATTGAGATAGATTGTCACTTCATTCAAGAGATGATTGAGTCTAGATATATCACCACACAGTGTTCAGGAAAGTGAGCAATTCATCGCTTAAAGTGATGAAAGCAAAGCGATGCGAGCCTTATACTCTTCACATACTAGAATGACTATGTGAGTGTTTCATCACTTAAAACGTGAAGCGGGGCCTTATCTCTTTTTTCCGCTTCACACTTCCTGAACACTATCACTACAAGTTTTGTCAACTCAAAAGATCAGCTGGTAGATATTTTTACAATCACTCCGAGGATCCAGAATTGACTATATCTGGCAAACTAGGAGCGTATGACTTATACGCTCCACCTTGAGGGAGCGTGTTAATTATAGTATATTGGATAGTCAAGATAAAGAATATTTAAATATAGTACGATTAAATAGTCTAAATATGAGAATATTTCCTAATACCTTTAATAGGCAGTTAGGAGATTATGTAATATTTTATTAGTTTTTTTCTTTATTTACATTATCTGTAATAACTATTTAGTCCCATCAATTTAAGGGAATGATCAATCAATTAAGGTGGTGTGCTTTTCTTGGCTCGTAGGAAGAAATGCTTGCCTCACACATAATAAACTTTAAAGAAGGGCATTTCAACTGTGTTCTATATGCTTTTTGTGAAGAGCTGCTAGGGAAATTAACAGTCACTTGCTCATTCTTTGTTGTGTGGCTGGGAAACTATGGCAACTATTCTTGAACATGGTGGGTAATTTTTTGTTTTATTTTTGGTGTAAAGAAAGATATGTTGAGGAGGCTGAAACATTGTTTGATATCATAGCATCTTTGTGAAGCAGTAGTGTAAGCTTGGTTTGGATTTTGTGAAGTCTTTTTGCACTGTTATGGTGCAACTTTAATATATACTAGTTGTTAATGCTAAGACGTCACGAGATTGTTCATAATATTGTTCTATATTAACTTACAAGTTTCAACAATTAAATGGAACAACTGAAGACCAAATCACGTAGAATTTAGACTTCAGAATTTTACGACTCATAATGTATGAATCAGCCAAAGGAAAAAGGCCTCATTTTCAAAATATTGTACTAAACTACAAACTTGTGCAATGCACGTCTTTCAAGAATAACAACACACAGGTAACTGTGGTTAAAACAAGGAGCACAAATTATACTTCCCTTGCAAAAACAAAACATAATGAAGTGATTGCTTAGACGGATAATTTCTCATTTATTCTTCAAACTAGGATTATTCATCTCGGGGATACAAAGAACTACCATCAGTACACACTATTGAGCAATTCATGTATCACTTGATACGGAAGACTTTTATTTTTTTCGTCCAAACAACGGTCTTGACCTTTGATCAAACTATAAACATGAGTAGATAGGCGGCTAAGGGGGGAGAAGGTCAGCTGGATTTGATTTTTCAATCAATCTCCGGACGCTTAGTGCTGCTATTGTTGCGAGATGTATGGAATCTTGGACTCGAGTCAGTCTAGGTTAAATCCAGATGCACAACTAAATTGAAAATTCAGCTTGTGCCCGGAAAACTGAAGTCGGGAACAAAAATCTCGAAATAAAAATGGAACTGGAAATAACTTTTGACCATCTCCCACTGCTCCCTCCCCAAAACCCACGGGAGGGAGGCTTCTTTAGGGAAACAATAATTGCAACAAAATTTAGTTTCTTCCCTGTGAAAGCAAAAGATCTTTCATCTACAAACTCATCAAAATGGTACTTTTTTTCATCTACATATTGATTAGAAAAGCACTATAAACCAATGAATAGTACACAAAAAGTGAGACTGATACTAACCCATCACATTGATAAAGTTTGGACATTCGCAGAACTTGAACATTGTTGCTTTTAGACATAACAAGACATCTTCCAATTGATTGTGTGTGACCAGAAGCCAAGAATCTACGATCAACTTCTTCAGAAATAATAAATACTACAAAATGTACGCAAACAAATAATGCAAATCTCATGTAACTGAAATCTTAGACTGCCACATGATTATACATACTTGAAATAGCTGGTGATTTGTGATGCTTTGAAATCAAAAATGTCACCGTTCCACTATATCTCATTTTGCACGCCTGTTTGTTTCAGAATTTATGCTACTTGTATGCCCAATAACATCTAAATAATCCTCTGAGATAACAAATACCATGTGCCTTGCACTTCTTTCAGTACCCACCACAACAAGGATTAACTCCCCTGATGAATCCTTCAGGTAGTAGTGGACAACACGATGGTCTTTCCCTTGAGAAACAACGCGCTCTTCCCACGAAATAAATACATGACTATTTGTATCCATCCTGATGCCATAGAGAAACAGTTTGGATTAATCAAAAATTAGCCAGTTTTTAAACACCCTCATCCACAAACACAAAAAATCATTTTTAGGTAACAATCATTTTGGAAAAAGAATCCAAAGCAGTCCAGAACAAGAAGTAACAGAAGTACAAAACAAAAAACAACAGATAATAACAACATCAGTAACAACAACAACAACAGATAGTAACAGAACATAACTACAGAAACAACATGATAATCAAGGTACAAGGAACAACAGATAGTAAAAGAAATCGAAGGACAAGAAACTATAGGGGCAACAATATGACTACTAATATGAACGGACAGCAAAAGAGATGGAGCAAACTAATCCTCCTTAGTTCTCAGACACGAAGAAGAGATTCGTTTCCCAACATTACCTCCTGCTGACCATATAAACAATGAAAAAACAGTAACAAACCACAACCCCAAATGAAACACAGTCAGAATTTTGCTTAATCCAAAGATAAACTGTCTCCCAATACACAACAGCTATAAAGAAGAGATTTTTTTTCCAACAATTAGCTCTGATGACCATATAAACAATGAAAACCACAACCCCAAATGAAATAGAGACAGAATTTTGCTTAATCCAAAGATAAACCGTCCTTATTTCAGAAAGTTGAGGATTTTTTTCCAACAATTAGCTCCTGATGACCATATATAAACAATAAAAACAGCATCAAACCACAACAACAAATGAAATAGAGACAGAATTTTGCTTAATCCAAAGAAAAGATAAACTGAGCTAATTACAGAAAACTCTCAAATACAACAGCTACAAAGAACAAATCTTTTTTTCTCAAGATTACAAACCAAAGACCAAATTCACCCAAATATGGTGAAAAACGAAATGGGGTTTGCTGATTTTCAAAGAACAACCATGTACGATAACAAAAACATACAACATCAAACCAGCACATGAAGCGATCATATTTTGCAACAAATAGCTTAGGGTTCGAAAAGGAACAAAAAAAGCAAGAAAAACAAACTAACCACGTAACTAGTAACTCACCTCAAAAACAGAAAAAGATTGTTGCTTTAGGAAAAAACAGAGGTTGAGAGAAAAGTCATAGAATACTGAGTTGGGTTTTTTTGTTGTACAAGGGGCAACGGTTAGGGAAATAGATTGGGTAAAGAGTAAAAGACGAAGAAAAGAAGAAACTGGGGAGAAAAACCCAAATGCCATTGTTGCCAACACAAGCAAAAGGTTGAAGCTTTTGAGATTTTGTGACATATGGACTATGGTAGCAGCAACAAGAGTGAAGAAACACAAAACTCAAAAACATGGTCTTTGTACTTAAAAAAAAAAAAAAGATTCAGAAAATATTTTCTTTTATTTTTTTTATGAATTCTAATAAAAATTTAACTTTTAAATACTACTATTGAAATTCAGTTTTACAAATTTATCTCTCCCTTAGTTTCATATCATTTGGCCTAGGGGTGCATATCGGTCGGTTCGGTTCAGTTTTGAACATTATCGGTTTTATTTATCGGTTATCGGTTTGTTGACTAGCTAAATCGTCAAAGAACAATTAAATTATCGGTTAATCGGTTATCGACCTTTATCGGTTCGGTTATCGGGTTAACCGTTAACATATCACACATTTTTTAAAAATAAAAATCACATGAAGAACAGGCAAAAGCACCTGCAAGGCTGCAACGGTGCAACTAAAGTAACAGCATACTAATTACTAAAGCATACTAAAGTGACAAAATACTAGCAATTAGCAAACACTTACACTGCCTTTCTTTTACTTGCTAAAGCACAAAGTCACACACTAAAACACAAACAAAACAGTACATGATTCAATATTCATCACAACCTTTTTATGCATGAGACAAGTCCTTGAAACTGAAAGATCACAAAATGAGTTCACACTTCACAGTAAGGTTATCACTATCAGTAATTCAGTATGCATTTATGCTCAGTGCTCACCCAACTCTCAGCAGTCAGCACAACACAACATTTTCTACTAGAAAACACTCGACACAACAGCCACAACAGTCAACAAATCCCTAACAGCTCACACAGGCGCAATCAAAATTTCAAAAATTCAAAATAGCAGTCACACAAACTGAAAATTTAGTCCAAACATAGTACTAATATTTCACATTCAAGTAAACAAAATAATAGCTAGTAATCAATTCTTGCGAGTTAAGGATTCTGGTTTCTTGTTTCCAAACACTGTTTAACATGATTTCTTAAGGAGGCAATTCCATTATAGTGCGAATGGTAATAAGCAACACGACCACAATGAATACATTTTACTGTCCACGATCCATCTTCTTTTTCTTCAAGTTTTTCATAGTGATTCCAAATAGGTGATCGAGCATTAGAACCATGAAGTTGAGGCATGATGAAATCTGATGAACAAAGAAACAAAGAAAGCATTAAATATTTTAATGATTAAAATGAAAGATTAGTTAAGATAAAGTGATAAATTGATACAGAACACCAAATTCTAGTGGGAGCTTTGCACAAATATTTGTATCAACCATAATATAACATACTCATTACTCATTAGTCATCAAAAAAGAGAAGTCAATCATAAATCATGAATAAAGACAAGATAATAAATAACACATGTATGATGTAATATAAGAGACCACCTCAATAGTAAGACATCTACCTTCCTTTTCCTTTAGTAGAGTTAGTGAAGGAAACCTCTAATTTTACATGTCATCAATGCAAAGTTCGTTTCCAAGTTTTGCCAAATCTAAAGACAAATATAACAAGTCAAGGCTCAAGACTTAAGAAATAAAAATATAGAATAAACTATTCACAGTTTTACATCAATGAGGTTCTTTTTTTACCTTCTTCAAGTTGCTCAAGAAAATCTAAATCTTCCTCAATACTTATGGGTTGTAGCTCACTTCGAAGCCAATCTTGAAGGCACACTAGAGCTTGTACCAATTTAGGAGTTAATGAACTCCTAAACGAATCAAGTATGCGTCCTCCAGTACTAAAAGCACATTCAGACGCCACACTTGAAACGGGAATAGACAACACATCTCGAGCCATCTCAGAAAGAATTAAAAATCTAGGGGAGTTAACTTTCCACCAAAGCAATACATCAAAATCTGATTTTTCAACTTCAATTTCTTCATCAAGATACTTAACTAATTCTGACTTTGAACTTGCTCCTCTTTTTTCAGATGTATGTTTTTGTAATTCCTCAAAAAAATTTCCAAATTCTCCTCCAGACCTTGAATCAACAGACCTTGAATCAGAAGTATCCACCTCAGTTGAAGAAAATTGGCCATTTTTATCAGAATCAGCAGGCTATGTATACTCATTAAACAAAGATTCCATGTATGTTAGCACACCGATTTCTAAAGCAGCCCCTTTTTCTCCAAACATCTTCCTAAGTGCAAAGCCAAGAGTGATAAATTTGTGACGAGGATCCAAAACACATGGTATAAAAACTATTTTATTCATTTTTTCAGTATCACCCCAATATTTATCAAATTTCTCCTTCATATTTTTCG